AACAATGAACCACAACCGAGGTATGTGCCCTTGACCAGAATCGAACCCGAGACTCTTTGATCCACAGGCCGACACTCTAACTGCTGAGCCAAACCAACCAGGGCAAGGAAAATTTTTTTTTTTTTTTATCATCCTCACCCGAGGACATTTTTCCATTTTTTGTTCAGGTAGAGTGGGAGGGAGAGAGAGGAACAGAGAGAGAGAGAAACATCGATGTGAAAGGGACACATCGAGTGGTCGCCACCTGCACAACCAACCAGGGCCGGGGACAAACTGCAACCAAGGTACATGCCCTTAGCGGGAACCGAACCCGGGTCTCTCCGGACCGCAGGCTGATGCTCTAACCGCTGAGCCAAACCGGCCAGGGCAGGAAAATTTTTTTAAGTGTTCAAGATTCATAGTATTTTATGTACATTTACATTGTTGAATAACCATCACTGTCATCTCCCAAAGTTTTTCATCTTACAAAACTGAAACTCTGTACCCATTTAGCATGAACTCCCCCGCATTCTCCTACCTTCAACCATTGGCAGCCACCATTCTACTTTCTGCCTCTGTGAATTGGACTACTCTAGGAACTTCATAAATGGACTCATATAGTAGTAGTTGTCTTTTTGTGACTTTTATTTCACTTAGCATAATGTTTACGATTCATCCAAGTTATAACATGTGGCAGAATTTCCTTCCCTTTTAAGGCTGAAAAATATTCCATTGTATGTACAGACCACATTTTATTTATCCATTCATCTGATGATGGGCACCTGGTTGCTTCCACCTTTTGGCCATTGTGAATAATACAATTACGAACATGGATATAAAACTATCTTATAGAGATCCTGCATTCAGTTCCTTCAGACGTATACTCAGAAGTGGAATTAATGGATCATATGGTAATTTTATTTTTAATTCTTTGACAGTTTTCTGGGGGTTTTTGTTTGTTTGTTTTTGATAGTAGTCATCCTAATTAGTGTGAGGTGGTATCTCATGGTTTTGACATGCACTTCCCCAATGATTAGTGATGCTGAGCATCTTTTCATGTGCTTATTGCCATTTATTAAAGGACATTATGTATTTATTCTTTGGAAAAATATTTATTCTAGCCCTTTGCCCATTTTTAATTATTTTATTCTGTTATTATTTTTGTATGTTTTTATTGATTTTTAGAGAGAGAGGAAGGGAGAGGGAGAGATAGATAGAAACATCGATGAGAGAAAAACATTGATTGGCTGCCTCCTACATGCTCCCTTCTGGGGATCAAGCCCACAATCTGGACATGTGCCCTGACTGGGAATCGAACCAGCGACCTCTTGGTACAGAGGTTGACCTCAACCACTGAGCCATACCAGCTAGGCCTTTGCCCATTTTTTAAATCAAGTGGTTTGTTTTTTTGTTGTTAAGGAAACTTTTTTTGGTAATCCTCATGCAAGGATATTTTTCCATCCATTTTTAGAGAGAGTGGAAGGAATAGAGGGAAAGGGAGAGAGAGAAACATTGATGTGAGAGACACATCGATTATCTGCCTCCTACACACACCCTGATCAGGGCCAGGGATCAAACCTGCAATCCAAGTACATGCCCTTGACCAGGAATCAAACCTATTGGACCCTTTGGTGTGTGGGTTGACACTCTAACCACTGAACCACACTGGCCAGGACAAAGAAACTTTTTAATTGAAGTATAACAGGGTCAGCCTTTGAGTTTCCTTTCCTCGAGCATATTTATGTAATGATCATGGGCAGGCAGCTTATTTCAGCTCTGATTTGGCTTCTATCATTCCTTCACTGAGTCATCATAGAATCTTAGAATTAAATAAGCCTCAGAGAATGTCTTAGTCTGTTCTGGTTGCTATAACAAAATACTGCAGACGGGGTGGCTTATGAACAATAGTAATTTCTTTCTCACAGTTCTGGATGCTGGAAGTATAAGATCAGGGTGCCAGCCTGATTGGGTTCTGGTGAAGGCCCTTTCCCAGGTTGCTGATGGCTTACTTCTCCTTATTTCCTCACATGGCAGAAGGGGAATAGGGAGCACTGTTGGGTCTCCTTTATAAGAGTGCTAATTCCATTAATGAGGGTTTCAACCACATGGCCTAATCACTTTCCAATGGTCTCACCTGGAACCATTGGACATTGGGATTTCAGTATGTGAATTTGGAGGGGGATACGTTCAGACCATAGCAGAAAGTGACAATATGAGGAAACTGAACCCAGTTATTTTCCCACTATGCCCTCGGCCCTGTGAATAGCATTTTCATGATCTTTAAATAGCATGCCTTTCTTTGCTTCCTTTCTCATTTCCTACAAATATTTTGAAGTCTGATAAACTTTTTCATAATTGCAAAATATTTAGTAAAGTATTTACATTAGGTGTCAGGTATATGTTGGACTATACTTTTTGAAATTGTTCAGTGTTATTCTTAAGAAATTTTCTTTAGAAAATTATAGGTCTTTTTTTTTACTTTTTTTTCTTTGTTGATTTTTAGAGAGAGAGTAAGGGAGAGGGAGAGAGAGATAAACATTGATGAGAGAGAACGTCGATTGGCTGCCTCCTAAATGCTTCCCACTGCAGATTTGGCCCACAACCTGGGCATGTGCCCTGACCAGGAATGGAACCGGTGACCTCTTGATGCATGGGTTGATGCTCAACCACTGAGACACACCAGCTGGGCTAATTTTTATTTATTGATTTGAGAGAGAGAGAGAGAAACATCAATTTGTTGTCTTATATATTTATGCATTCATTGGTTGATTCTTATATGTGCCCTGACTGGAGATCAAGCCTGCAACCTGGATGTATTGGGACAGTACTCTAACCAACTGAGTGACCTGGCCAAGGCTGATAGGTCTTTCTTTTTCTAGGGAAATAAGCAGATGGGGCTAAAAGGCAGTTAGTAATGCTGACCTCAACTTAAAGTAACACTTTTGTTAATCTTTTTGTTAATCTTTGGAAATCAATAAGCGCTCAGAATTGCTCACAGGTTGCTATTAGGCAATGCTTTTATGAGTCCTATTAGAATACATCTGGCTTAGTCTCCTGACTTTTGAGATTGAGCAGTTTGAAACTGCCATATAAAGGTGATTGCTTATGCCCCTTACACTAACTTGTGACTGGGTTGGCAGTGGCTTCCTGCTCAAAGATGTCAGCTGACAGCAGGGACATTCAGGATGCATGGCCTTGCATAAAAGATCTCTGGGAAGCTCCTAACGTTTTTTTCTGTATTTAATCTTTTTTTTTTAATTGTGATAAAATATACATAACATAAAACTTATCGTTACAACCATTTTTAAGAGTGTATAGTTCTGTGGCATTAAGTGCATTTACATCGTTGTATAACCATCTCCAGAATTTTTTCTTTTTTCTTTTTTAATTCTTCCCTCAAGGACATTTTTCTATTTATCTTCAGAAAGAGTGGGACAGGGGGAGAGAGAGAGAGTGAGAAACATAGATGTGAAAGAGACACATCTACTGGTTGCCTCCCACACAACCCCAACCAGGGCCGGGGACAAACCTCAACCAAGGTACATGCCCCTGACCAGGATCGAACCCACGACTCATTAGTCCGCCGGCCGATCCAGCCACCAAGCCAAACTGGCCAGGGCCATCTCCAGAATTTTTTTTTTTATCCTCACCCGAGGACATTTTTCCATATTTTGTTCAGATAGAGTGGGAGGAAGGGGGAGAGAGAAAGAGAAACATCGACGTGAACGGGACACATCGAGTGGCTGCCACCTGCACAACCCAACCAGGGCCAGGACAAACTGCAACTGAGGTACGTGCCCTTAGAGGGAACCGAACCCAGGTCTCTCTGGACCACAAGCCAACGAACGCTCTAACCGCTGAGCCAAACCGGCCAGGGCCAGATTTTTTTTTTTTTAATTTTTTTTTTCTTGAGGGGGAGAGAGTTAGAAACATCAATGAGAGGAACATCAATTGGCCGCCTCCTGCATGCCTCCCAGTCTCCCACCAGGGATCAGGCCCACAACCTGGGCATGCGCCCTAACCAGGAATCGAACTGGCAACCTCTTGGTGCATGGGTCGGCGCTCAACCACTGAGCCAGGCCCATTTCCAGAATTTTTTATCTTCACAAAATGAAAGTCCATACCCATTAAACAGTAGCTCCTCATTCGTCCTTCTCCCCATCCTTGACAACTACCATTCTTTCTGTCTCTGAATTTGACTAATCTAGGTACCTCGTATAAGTTGAATCATACAATATTTGCTTTTGTTTGTGGCTTCTTTCATTTAGCATGTCTTCAAGATTTACCCATGTTGTAGTATGTGTCAGAATTTCCTACCTTTTTAAGGTTGCATAATATCCCATTGTATGTATATACCATTTATCCATTCATCTGTTGACAGGCATTTGGGTGGTTTCCACTTTTGGGCTATTGTGAACATTCTTCTACATGAACATTGTTGTACAGATATCTCAAGTTTCTGCTTTCGATTCTTCGATATAATCCTAGGAGTGAAATCGCTGGGTAATGTGCTAGTTATATGTTTAATTTTTTGACAAACTGCCATACTACATTCCACAGTTGGTGCACCATTACATATTTCCACCAGCAGTGAATAAAGGTTCCAATTTCTCTACATCCTCCCCAGCACTTGTTCTATGGTGTTTGTTGGTTGGTAAGAGCCATCCTAATGAGTGTGAAGTGGTATCTAATTGTGGTATTGATGTTTATTTCCCTAATAATTAGTGATGTTGAGCATCTTTACATGTGTTTATTGGCCATTTGTATATTTTCTTTAGAGAAATGTCTGGTCAAGTTCTTTGCCCATTTTCAATCAGGTTGGCTGGTTTGTTGCTGAGTTTTAGCCATGCAGCTTTTTGATTTTCAAATACTTTTAAGAGGGTGTTTGTTGTGTAGTGTCTTATGAATATATCTCCATTTGTCTTATTTATTTTTAAAGATTCTTTCTCTGTATAGGTAGGTAAATATAGATATATTATGAGCCAATTGATATATAAATAATAATTTTTTTGTCCCAACAGTATATCCTTTCAGGCTCTGATGACTTCAACCTGTACATGTGGAGAATTCCTGCAGATCCAGAAGCAGGTGAGTATGTCCCTAATATGAACCTGCTGCTGATACTGACTCTTGACCTTTGTCATGCTGCTGCTGATACTGACTCTTGACCTTTGTCATGCTGTGCCCCAAAAGGACAGATCTGTAGCTATAGAGAAGATATTTCTCTTTTACTGTAATAAGTGTATTGGAAAAAGTGACCAAAGGAAATTATAAAATAAAAATTAGAAGCGAGATTTAACTATAACCTTCATACATATCTGACATAATGATGCTCAGATATTTTTTCTCCTAATAACTTTTCTTTAGACTTTATAGACCTCCTTAATGTTCATTTGTCTCTCTCCTATTTCACACCTGGAATATTTTTATCTTGCTTTTACATGCTTTTTTTTTATTATCCTTCTGTATGTTCATCCTTATTACTCTACAAATGCCTGTTAGGACCTCTTCTTTTCCTTTGGCCTCCTGGTGATATTAACTAAAGTGATTTTTTTTTTTTTTATCCTTATCCGAGGACATTTTTCCATTTTTTGTTTAGATAGAGTGGGAGGAAAGAGAGAAAAACATCGATGTGAAAGGGACACATCGAGTGGTTGCCACAGGCACAACCCAACCAGGGCCGAGGACCAACTGCAACCGAGGTACATGCCCTTAGCAGGAACTGAACTCGGGTCTCTCTGGACTGCAGGCCAAACCGGCCAGGGCTAAAGTGAAATTTTCTTTGTTGACTGACAGGTGCATTCCCTGGGGTTTAGCTGACCCCAGACATCAAAGAAATTAGGAGGAATATTTCTGCATTTGCTCTCGATGTGTTCTAAAAAGAAAAAAAAAACCTGCAGCTTTCCATAAATTTGGATCTAGGCCAGCTGAGGTTTCAAATAGTGTGGATCATTCTTCATTCTTCATTATAGTGACCTCACATGCTCAGTTACATGTTACACTGGTTGCTTCATAGTGGTAGAAAAGTGTATATTTTTTTATTCTCAGGACAGCTTAATATAGCTATCTGCTCTGGGTTATACATGACATCAAACTGGAAAATGTCCATTAGGAAAATTATAGACGACTATCCAGAGTGTATATTGCACAGAATGTGTCTAGTTTAGGAAGTTGTTGGCTTGCCTGTTGCTGAATTAGCAATGTTGTTACCAAACATTTGCCTTTCAAAACTTGTTGAGGGTCACCTTTGGTATAACTATCCTGTTGCTATGGTCTAGTTACCAAACACATTGTAAAAGGCCTTTTTCTCCTTCTGGAATTTGAAAGTATGAGTGAAGCAGCTTACCTTTGAAGTACAACCAGAAGGGACAGCAGCATCTATCTGAACCAAAAGTGATGTTCTAGCACTAGGGGTAGTTCTGTATTAAGTCTCCTGCCCCCATAAAATCTAGATTGATTAGCTGAGAAATAAGCTTTGGGCTTAATTGTATCTTTTATCAGATCTTGAAAAGCTTTTAATTATTAAGTCAGTATGTCTTTAAAATAGAAAAGTGGATAATTCCCTTTCCCCAGGACTAGTCTCTGAACTCTTTCTCATGTTTGTATAAACAGAGAAGAGAGGAAGAATTAGCAATAGTACTGTTGTTGTTTTTTCTCTCCCTTTTGATTTCTATTCTGACTTAGGGTATGGGCCACTGTTCGGCTGACTTTTTGAGTAGGTGATTATGTAATCTCTGGGTTGGCAGGGACCTGATAGTTGATTTAGGATTCCAATATTAAAACTGGAAAATGGGTACCTGGACTTTCCAAGGGTTATATAGGCACAGCTGGTTAAAGGAATTCAGTTTTAGGTTCTTAAATTCCATATGTATTCTTTCATAAAATCAACATTCCTAAGAAGGTACACATTCTCCTTTCCTACCTCCCTTTTCCCACTTTACAGGAGAAAAATGAAAGCATGACAGGTGTTTGAGTACTGCATGGGTATTTGGCCCAAATCAGGGGTCTGCATAATTTTCTGTTCACAGACCCACCGCTACAATCACTTTTTGAGTTATAATTTACATATAAAGAGTATATATTGAAGTATACTTTTATTGAGGAATAACTTAAACCTCCACTAAGATGCCTGCCATGATAAGGTGCTTGTTGCCCCAAGATAAAACCAGTGATTAGGAGTTTTCTGGAAGCTTTACTTTGTACCCTTATGTATTCTTTTGAATGGTGGCTTACTGAAAATAGCCTTATCATTCTTCCTCCTCATAGCCTTTTACTCATTTGAAGGATAGCTCTCATGTCCCCTTCTCTATCTTCTCCAGAGATATCACCCCCAAGTTTATTTAGCAGTACCTAAAAGCAATTGTCAGTTTCTTGAATGTACCGGCTTGTTCAACAGGTGTAGTCTGACTAAACCAGAAAAAAATCTTTGGCTCCTTGATAGTTAAGTGTGCTACATGATGTTTCAGAAAGTACACTCAGGATCACATAGCTGTTTTTGGAGGTCACAGAACCCATAATCCACTCATACTTAGAGTTGGATAGAAACCCCATGGTTTCCACATGAGCTGTGGTTGATTCTGCATCCTTATCCTTGATTTGGTGCTTAGGTTTCATTGTACACAAGGACAGGACTTTATAATTATCTCTCGTTAGATTCACTAACTGGTAGTTGAGGGGTTTGTTTTTTCTGTATCACTCTTTAACATTACATCATCGGTCTGTCACAGTGAGGTTGCCTCTTTGAACATCATCTTGCTCTGCAAGTAACTAAAGTACCTTTTTGGATTATTTTTTACCAAACCTTGGCTCATTTGGGGATTCAGTCTTCCTGCCACTATTCTGACAACTTACCCACATTTTTTTTTTCTTTTTTTGTTCACATATTTTTCCTTTTTTTTTTTTTTTCTATTCTTTGTTGTTCCTTTTTTCATTTCTTTTACTATTTTTAGAGGTTGTTGTCAAAGTCATACAGGTACATAAATTTTTTAAAATTTTTTTTTTATCTTCACTCGAGGATGTTTTTCTATTTATCTTCAGATAGAGTGGGAGGAAGGGAGAGAGAGAGAAAGAAATATCGACATGAGAGAGACACATTGACAGGTTGCCTCCCACACGGCTCCGACCAGGGCCGGGGATAAAACCTGAGACTCTTTGGTCCACAGGCTGACGCTCTAACTGCTGAGCCAAACCGGCCAGGGCTAAATTTTAAATCAAATAATATTACAAAGCTTTTTTTAAAAAAGTAACAGTTTCTTTTTCTATAACATACACATAATATTTTTAAATGTTCAATTTTGGCCATTGTCAGTTGGTTTTCTACTATTGAAATTAGTTTCCTCAAATAGGAATTTTTGATCTCCTATCTGGAGGGTATTTACCAACCAGTTGAACTATGGTACCAAGAGCCAATTAGAGGGATAGAACTATGGATTTCACAGCTATACACAGATTTTTGTTTAATTCCACCCTCCATCTGTGTCTATTGTTCCTAGTCCAAAATCTCTTTCAGTTGGTAACCCCCAGGCCTCTACGTGAGTGCTGGGGGAGGGGTGTGATGGTGAAATTGCTCTTTATGTAAGCTTTCAACTAATCCTATTTACAGCCCTACCCTTCAACCTGGTTTCAGGGATATTTAGCACCTCTTATTTTTATATGTAATTTCTCTTTATTTTTTTGTTAATCCTCACCTGAGGTTATTTCTTCCATTGATTTTTAGAGAGAGTGAAAGGGAGGGGGAGAGGGAAAGAGAGAAAGAAACATCAATGTGAGAGAGACATATTGATTGGTTGTCTCACGCACAATCCCAACTGGGGCCGGGGATCAAACCTGCAACCCAGGTACATGCCCTTAACCAGAATCGAACTCTTGACCCTTTGGTCTGAGAGCTGATGCTGTAACTACTGAGGCAAACCAGCCAGGGTAGTAATCTCTCTATTTTTAAATATTGGCAATTCATTGTTCAGAAAATATTCGGTAAGATTTAGCAAGCCAAACATAACATGTAAGGGCTAGATGTGGTTTTTGGATTCTAATTTTGAATGCTTAGATGACGAAAGGTCTGTCAGGAAATTTCTAATCTAATCTACTGCCTCTTTGACTTAAACAAATATGGAATGAGGCTGAACTCGCTCTCTATGCATGCCAGTTGAACATAAGATACTAAGGCAGTCCACTATAGGGAAGCTGGTTTGCTATTATATGCCTTAATGGCATGATCAGATAGATGACAGGCAATCAGTATTTACTGAATACCTGCTGTGTGCTTCACAGTATATGCCAGATGCTGGGAGAACTAGATGGAGAGAAGTCCTGAGTATGAGCAAAAAGCAAGGGCATCTTTTTCTTCACTCTTCTGTTCAGAAAGATTAACAGTCACTGGAGAAATGTTTTTTTGCTCCACAAACTCCGGAGAGATGAAATTTATTTATTATGTAAACAGTACTGATTTAATGAATTGGCTAAGTAATTCTCATCGAGCTTCCTAGTGGGTGAGAAAATCGTTTTGAGGTGTAAGGTCTAAAACCCAGCCCTGCCAGTGTGACTCAGTGGATTGCATGTCATCCCATGGACTGAGAGGTCGCGGATTGATTCCCGGTCAGGGCACATGCCCAGGTTGTTGGGCTCAATCCCCAGTAGGGGGGGTGTGTAGAAGGCAGCCAATCAATGTAATCTTTCTCACATCGAAGTTTCTATCTCTCCTTTCCTCTCTTTCCAAAAAAATCAATAAAAACATTTTTAAAAATCATAAAACTTATTACCTGGCGAAAGGAAGCCTGATATTTTAGTTGATGTCAAATAATAACTCATTTCTAAACACCTCTTTTAAGTTTAGACAAAAGAATAGAACTGGAAATTTTGCTGTGGCAAAGAAAAAGCCCATCAGAATGTATTTTACATCTCTGAAGTATGTAGGAAGAGCATCTGTTTTTATGTGATGATTCTGAAAATAAAATAAATAGACCAGCAGTTTTGGATAGAGTCATTGTGGTGTATTAGAAGGAGCATTAGGCTTAAAATCATACCTGGTTTCGAGTCCAGTGCTGCCATTAGCTAGCTGATTCAGTGATTCATTCTAGGCAGATTATATAACAGCAATTGTCTGAGCCTCAGTTTCTTCTGTAAAATTGCCTCTGTCCCCACCACCTCTAGTCATAAGATGATTTAACAGTTTTGGAATTTTTCTGAAAAGTGTGTGCCTTCAAATGTAATACATTGTTTTTGCGGTGTATAATAAGACCAATGCCCATAGATCCATAATTTCCAAAGCATTTTCTCAGAAGTAATGGATTATTTTCTTAAAGTAATGGATTTAGCAAATTGTGGTGGAGGTGGATGTCTCAAATATTCATATTGCCTTCTCCTTCACGTGTCCCTAATTCTTGCTGGAAAGGGCTTTAGGGCTTCTGAGACATGCCTCTACATTAAGACCTTACTATTTATGGTAAGAGGCATAATATAATTGAGTTGGTAGGCCTGTGTTTAAATTCCTGATCCATTCATCTTCTAGTTGGAGGCTTTGAAAAAATGATTTAATCTTACCAAACTTTAGTTTCTTCATCTGTAAAATAAGAAAATTAACAGTAACAATAGTAATATCTACCTTCTTAGAGATATTGTGAGAGTACTCAGTAACCGTTCAATGCTTGTTATTTCTTTATTTTATTTCATTGATTTCTCAGAGAGAGTAAGGGAGAGAGAGAGAGAAACAAACATCAATGTGAGAGAGAAACATCGATTGGTTACCTCTTGCATGCACCCCAACTGGGTACGTGCCCTGACCAGGAATCAAACCCGCCACCTTTTAGTGTAAGGGATGATGCTCCAACCAATGAGCCACACCGGCCAGGCTCTTTTTTATTTTTGCCATCATAATTTATCCTCCCTCTACCCTCCTCCACCTCCCACACCTCCTTCTCCCCACACAATTGTTATTTCTCATTAAGAAAACTATCTCTTTTAACTTTCTTCTGAAAAACTCCTTAGAGACCAAGACATTATCCTCCTCTGGTGCCCTCCTGAATGGTCAGTTACATTGTTTTTGCATGAAGGTTGATCTTAACTCTGTAATTTAAGAAGGGGGAATTTATATGACAAATTTTTCCCTGAATGGAGGAGTAAACATGTACTTTCACTGCCAAGTCACTGCAGCCACCCTCACTGCCAGTAGGCTGATGCAGTAGTCTAGAAGCAGCTGTAAATGCATTTTCAGGGGCCTGCACATGTGCATGCTCTGCTTCTCCTTTTTCTACACATGCATTGACTCTCATTGACTTTGGCCTGAGCACCTGCTTTTCCCCCATGTAATTAGAACAACTGTTTTTAATTGGTACAAGTAGTTGGTTTCAAACACATGTGAAGTACAGATGATAAAAGAACTTAGCATAATTGACTTTTTTGTGCAATTAAGCATTGCTGTCTGTGGAGCTCTTTGAGCTTTAGTGACAGCACTGGCCATCTCCATCTGGCTTTTCTTAACTCTAAATGTTTCATGATCCCCAGGAGACAGCCACTGCTCTTTCTGTCTTGTCAGTACTCTGATTGTACTTCTCTTTATGGTTTAAAACTAGGAGACCTTGGGATTATTCACTTGGGCCTTTTGGAATTGCTAAAAAGGTGTTTAGAAAACTCTTTTAGATATAGCAAGGAAAAGAAGTTTCTGTGGTGGACTCTTAGAGCTATACATTTTTAATTCTACCAGTGGGGTCAGAAATGAAAGAGATTGCCCCAAGAGTTGCTTACCAAACTTTACCTTGGTTCTCAAATGTCTCCCATCTCAAACAGTTTGGTTCTCGACCAAGTTTTTCACACAAAAAATGTCTTGTTTTTGAGCAAAACTTCAATGCTAGACCCGACAAGCCTTTCATGCTGACACTGGTATGAGCAGTCACGCTTCTCTCAGACGACACACAGGAGAAAATGTGCGAGTATGAGTCACTTTACCACTAAACCTTGTGTTGTTAACATCTCAGGAAATTGTACTGTAAATACTTTTGTGGTGTTTTTTTGCTTTGGTTGCTGCTTATTATTATTAAATATGTACATAAGTCACCATGGGTCCTAAGAAGGTTAGTGATAGCAGCAAAGTGAAAAGGAAAGTTATGAGAATAACGATAAAGCTTAAAAAAAGAAATAATTGCAAAGTATGATAGAAGTGTTTGTGTATCTGATGTGGCTACCAAGTATGGCATGGCGAAATCAACAATAAACACAATTTTGAAAGATAGAGGCCATCAAGAGTGCTGATGATGCTAAGTGTGTGAAAGTGCTCACAAAAAAAACAATCACAGGCAATTGAGAAAGATTAAAAAGGGGAATCATTTGGGGGTTTGGAATGGATTAATTAAATTTGCATTATTTCTAATGGGGAAAAATGATTCAATTTTCAAACGAATCGCTTCTCAAACAGCCTTACAGAATGGATAAGTTCAAGAACTTGGGTTCCACTATAATGGCTTTGGCCTTTTCCTTCAAGCCTTGTTCCAGAGAAAATGATGAGAGGGCATTTACTTCAATGTGTTTATTTATTGAGTATCCTTAGATAAGATATCATTGCAAACCCCTATGGGCAATTGAAAGATAAACACTTACTTGCCCTGAAAGAACTTCCCATCTAAGAGGGATGAGAAAAGGGTATGTGTGTATGTTACTCTAAATTTATTTATTTTTTGTGTTTTTATCCTCACCCGAGGACATTTTTTCCATTTTTTTTGTCCAGGTAGAGTGGAAGGGAGAGAGAGAGAGAGAGAGAAACATAGACATGAAAGGGATACAATCGAGTGGTTGTCACCCGCACAACCCAACCAGGGCCAGGGACAAACTGCAACCGAGGTACATGCCCTTAGTGGGAACCAAACCCGGGTCTCTCAGGAACACAGGCCATCGCTCTAACCACTGAGCAAAACTGGCCAGGGCAGCAAAGGACATTTTTGTCACCCACCTAGTACTAGCCAAGTTGGCACCACTAAGGGGCAGATCAGTACTGTCTGAGACCTTGCTGTTATAAAAAAAATTTATATTTACATGGTAATAAAGAGGAATATCTCCCATGAGGCAAAAGAGGAGTTGTGTTGGGATGCCAAAAGCAGGAGACCCCTTTCCCAGAGCCTGATTATTTCTGGAGAAGAGATGTTTTTTCTAGTCATATTCCTTCCAAACACTGAGACAACAAATGTTTGGAATGAATATTTGAATAGGGTAGAGTTGGGAGTGTGATGGTGTGATACATGGAGCCAAAACTATATTTTGCCCTAATGGTGCCATGCTTCTGGTAGGGACTGAGAATGTATAAGTGAATACTCATTTGTTTGTCTGAATGCATCATATCTGCCAGTTTGCCAGGGTCACAGGTTGGCCTATGTGTACCGAGCTGTTTTGATGATTGCCCAGAAGCAACCTTGCCCAGGACTTGGGTGCATGTGTTCTGTATGATTGTGATGTCATTTCCAGTTAAGCTGAACCTTTGAGATTATCCCAAGTTCATAAATGATGACATCTCCGTCTATGTTGCCAGTTCCAGGCCTCATTAAAGAAGAAAGCTTACAGGATAGTCTTATACAGATTTCAGTTGGGGCCTCTTGCTTTTATCCATACTTGGGTTCTGCTTATTATGAAAGTGACCCATATCTCCTCTCTTTATCCTTAGTTCTTCCCTGCTATCAGGGTTTTTAAAAAGAGTGTATATTTTCTCCATTATTTTCCCAGTGGTTTTTGTATATTTGCTTGTAGAACTTGAGGGCAAATGGACCAAAGATGTTTTTGTGCATTTAAGTAATTATATGCTACTGGTTCTGCTTATCCCTGGCTCAGCTGCCTAACTGTTCCCAAGCAGTTCAGTCTCATTTTGCTCATGACTGACCTTTTCTAAGGTAACACTTGGATTCTATCTTGGGATCAAAAACTTGTGAAATGTTTTAAGTGGCTGTAGCTTCATTGACAATGGAATTACAGTGGGTGGGCGTGGGCATTGCTTAAAGACTAAATAAAGGCTCTTGGTAAGAGCACATATGCTGAGAGATATTTCATCTTCTCTCTTTCCATAGCAACTTTATCTATAAGATTAAACTTTCTGTTGGTGTTATAGTTAATAAAAAATCTCAGCTCCAGTTCAGAGCTGTTTGCCTGCCATTACTGGAACCTATATACTTTCATCATTTGATTTTTTTGTTTTCTTCTGTCTTCCCAGGTGGCATTGGTAGGGTGGTCAACGGAGCCTTCATGGTGCTGAAAGGGCATCGGTCTATTGTTAACCAGGTCCGATTTAACCCCCATACCTACATGATCTGCTCTTCTGGTGTAGAAAAGATTATCAAGGTGAGGCACCTTCCCCTTCTGTCCTTTTAGAGAAATTATTATAATTCACAGTTGGAAGAAATCAAAACAATGTATGTAGGACCTTATAGCTAAACATACTAACGGTTTGTCAAAATTCTTAATTATTTCGACATACTACAAAATACTGGGAAAAAAATTTTTTTAAATTATTTTTTAGTTTTTTAATCCTCACCTGAGGACATTTTTGCATTTATCTTCAGACAGAGGGGGAGGGAGAGAGGGAGGAAGAGTGAGAGAAACATCAACATGAGAGAGATGCATCGACTGGTTGCCACCCACATGACTCCAACCAGGGCCAGGGACAAATTGCAGCCGAGGTACATGCTCTTAGCGGAAACCAAACCTGGGACTCTCTGATCCGCGGGCTGATGCTCTAACCGCTGAGCCAAACCGGCCAGGGTGAAAAATTGATTTTAAAAAGAGTAATTTAAAACCTTCCCTTCAGTAGCTTTTCTTTTCTTTTTTTATTTTAATAAGAAAAAAATGTATTGTGATTTATTCAAATATATTGACTAGTATCAACTCACAAAATATTCACTCACAGGCTTTTGTAAAGAACTGGGTTTTGAAAAGCATCAGTAGAAAACAGAGCAGTTGTTTCTACTTAGTGGTTGGAAGATAACTTCCTGGTGCTCAGAAGAGGTGAATTTACCAAATGTGCAATGTCTCTCTTTTGGACATGTGATAAACCTTGGCAAATACTTTATGCAACTTGAAGAAACAGCAGTGGCTTCCCTTCCTGTCCTTGAAGCCCTAGAGATAGCCAAGCCTAAGGAGCACCCTCTTGCAGCTTCTAGAGGCTGCCAGCATTTCTTAACTTGTGGCCACATCACTCTAAGGCCATTATCTTCAAATCTCTCTCTCTGTTCTGTTGTCATATCACCTTGTCCTCTGTGTCTCGAGAACATTTTAAAATAGTCACTAGATGCCAGGCCGGTGTCGCTCAGTGGATTGAGCATCATCCCATGGACTGAAAGGTCCAGGTTTCATTCCCAGTCAGGACACATGCCCAGGCTGTGGACTCAATCCTCAGTAGAGGGTGGGCATGAGGCAGCTGGTCAATGTCTCTCTCTCATATCAATATCTATCTCTGTCTCTCTCCCCCTTCCTCTCTCTCTAAAAAAAATCAATAAAAATATTTTTTTTAAATAGTCACTAGGCTTTGAAACTATACACTGCCTGTTGCTGCTACATTTCCAGTGGCCTTTGATATTGAGTCTGATGAATTCAGCTTTCCAAACCTCATCTGGAGGTTAAGAAGCCACCATCCCTTCAGTTATTCAGTGTGCCCTTTGCATTAATTGCTGTCCTAATATGGCACACAGATAACTGACTGCCAGAATCATAGCTAAATTGTCTCAGGACATACCAAAAACCACTGCACATGGTTGCCATTGAGTCTGAACACTTGCATCAGTTGCACATTAACTGAATGAACTTAACCCTGCCAAGGAGTATTTTGAGAGCCTGCAACTGAGAGACCTAACCTAGCTTGTGTCCACAGAAGGGTGGTTCACTGCCCGTCACACACAGTCCAGTTCCTAGTGACCCTTTTCCACATCTGAAAACGAAGGTTTGGGGCATGTGATGAATTCTTAAGGACCCTGTGATAACTTGACTTTTAAGTAAGGACAGGTGATACTCCCCCCAAAAAAGTTAAAACTCCTTTCTCCACCCCCCGCCAAATGACCTTGAAAATGTGAGGAAGGTTTCAAGGGGAGAATAAAAATTGGTTTGTGATGATTTGGTAGTTTTCATTTTCTTTTGCTCTTTAAAAAAAAGGAGGGGGTGCATCTAGAGTTAATCAAGTTGTGTCTGAGGCAAGGGAAGCTATCAGAAATATAATGTTGGAATATGGGTCAATATAGTCATTTGTCCTTATTCCAGCTTCCTGTATTTAGGTTTTGTTGGTCCTGTGACTTTCATAATAGCATACATTTCCCCATAGGGCTAGAACAGGATTTATAGATCATTTTTACTGATTTTTTTCTTTTTATAGATGATGATATTTATGTTGTAAATTAACTAGTTGAGGTTAATTACACAGCTAATTAGTGGTAAAGCTAGGAGAGAGCCCTGTTCTTTGTACTTCCCGGGGTACTGCCACACTCGCCATGCTAGTGGGAAAGCAGCAAACTGTCAGCCTGATGTTCCTGCTGGATTTGATCATCTCAGTAGTCCTTTACTTGGGCAGTCATTGAATTGGCCTTGTCCCTTGCATTGCTTTCCTGTCTCCTTTGGCCTATGACTAACAGGTTGGCATGGTAACATGCCCTCTCCAGATCTGTTGACATTATTCTCTTTCTCAGAGAGCTCTACTTGGGAATCTCCTTTAGAAGAAAGATTTCTGCTTGACTATGCACTCTGGGATGCTTCTGTGCTGAGTCTTTCCAATTACCATTTAGTCAACTAGAGTCCTTACCCTAAAGGTCATAGGTTGGAAACTAGCCAAGCTCTAAGAGGAGAAAGAGAAGAAAATGTTTTCTGTGTGAAGTTATCCAGACTGAACTATGGAGCTCACTGCTCCCAGGTTCCCATAGGGTCTGAATCCTGTCCCACCAGGAGGCATGTTAAGCCATTGAAAACTTGAGTCAGTACAGTTGGTACCCTCAAGCAGCTCTTTGAGTCTGTCTCCTAGCTGTCAACTGAGGACACTAACCATGACTTGCCACCCAGGAAAGTCTGTGAATTACCTGTTCTTGTCGATATATTTTTTTTTTTATCCTCACTCGAGGACATTTTTCCATTCTTTGTTCGGATAGAGCAGGAGGGAGAGAGTAAGAGAGAAACATCGACGTGAAAGGGGCACATCGAGTGGTTGCCACCCACACGACCCAACCAGGGCCGGGGACAAACTGCAACCGAGGTACATGCCCCTTAGTGGGAACCCAACCCAGGTCTCTCTGGACCGCAGGCCAACGCTCTAACCACTGAGCCAAACCGGCTAGGGTTCAATTTATACTTTTAATAAATGTTACTTTCCTACTTCTGAGAGGATCAGTGGCTCAAAGAACATCATCCCACCATTTTCTAGTCCAGCCTGACACCTGCTTTTCTCTCTCTGCTTCTCTCTCCACTTATCCCACCTTCTCCCTGTCTTGTCCTTTACTGCTACCTTTCTAGCCCGGAGGAGAAAAGTCCCTGTTGTCAGGGCCAGCCTTTTCTCACCTATAACAGATTTTCTATTCTCCTGAGTGCCTACATTTAGCAAATGAAAGGGTTCATTTTGTAGTTAAACACAAGCAGTGGCAAAATGGGGCAAATACTGACATTTTTTTCTCAAAGATCAATATTTATTCACCCCATATATGTGATATAACTATTGTGTGCCATTTGTGCAAGGCCTTAATGGGGAAGACAAAGGTAAAGAAAGGTAATGCAAGTCCCCCTAGGAATTGATAACCTAATAGGAGAGACAAGAAATAAAGATAATGGGAAATGTGATAGATATACAAGAGGCATTTTAAAAAGTGCTGTGAGCCCAGCTGGTGTGGCTCAGTGGCTGAGTGTCTACCTATGCACCAAGAGGTTACTGGTTTGATTCCCAGTCAGGGCACATGCCCAGGTTGTGGGCCCAATCCCCAGTGGGGGCATGCAGGAGGCAGCCAGTCGATGTTCTCTCATCAGTGTTTCCTCTCCCTCTCCTTCTCCCTTTCTCTCTCTCTAAAAAATCAATTAAGAAAAAAAAAATTTTTTTTAAGTGCTGTGGGAGGAGAGAGAGATTGGTGTATGTAATATTTGAACTAGATTTTGAAGAATCAAGACTGCAAAAAGATGACAGACCTCAGAGGAGGTGGGCGGGGCGGGGGGAGGGATGAGATAAACCAAAGAACTTATATGCATGTATGTGTAACCAATGGACATAGACAACAATGCTGGGGGGTGGGGAGGCAGGATGGGGAGGAGGGTGTCTAGGGTGGGAAAAGGAAAAGCATCTGTAACAAAAATAAATTAATAAAAATTGGTGCAGGGGAAGACTGCAAAACGGAGAAGAGTACTATTGGAAGAACATTCTAAATGGAAGGAATGGATATCTAATTATTTCATTGAATCGACAAATATTTCTTGATCACCTACTGTGTTCCAAGCAATGTATTTATGAATAAATGCTCAGAGGCAGCAAAGTGTAGGACCTGTTTAGACCAAAATGATCATGTTTGGCCAAAGTGAAGAGCACAAGAAGGGAGAACTAAGATATAAAAGGCTAGGAAAATAGGCTGAAGATGGGCCCGGATCATCTTAGAAGCCAGATTACAGAATGTTGAGAACCTTTGAGTAGCAATTTAGGTCCTTATCTGTGTAGTTTTTCTTGGTAGAGGGACAAATTTCTAAATTTAGTATATTAGTGCAAAAAGAAGGGGTTAGAGCTGCTATGTCGTGGTCAGCTGTGTAGATCAGAGCACTTGTTACTTGATTGCTTTTCATTCTAATGATGTTTGAATAAGAATTGAACTATATCCTTTTCCTCAGCAGCCTCTTGAGCTAAATTTCACTGGGCTTGGAGAGAGAGCTGCTCATCCCTCTTCCTTTTCTCATGAACCTTGCCCCATGAGGAGGCATATCTGGCTACATTTAATATGTCAAAGGAAGTTGTATTTTCATTGTTTCAATTCACTGTAAAGAAATAATTTCACAAATGCTTGAAATTTATATTTTATGGATGAGGCAAGACTAAGATAATAGGGACCATCAGTATTTCTGGTGTTAAAAGTCTCTTTGAGGAAGGGTCTAAAACTTTCTGGTTGAAGTATTCGGCTGCTAAATGAAAGAGAAAACACCACATTTATTGGTGCTTTGGTATAGACTATGGAAATGATTCTCATTTCTACAGATAAGAAAGAGGACTTTTAGGGGTGAAGTCATTTGCTCAGGGACATGTGAACTGGTGGGGCTGGGGTCCGTATCTGTTCTGCCTACTCCAGCAGCTCTGCTACAAGTCTCTTGAGGCTAGAAAACTGGCTGGCTGTGGTGGGGATTTTGTTTTGCTCTCAATTTTAGGATTGGATAGCATTCATTTCTTCACTGCTTAGATCAGGGAACTGAGCTTCCCCCAAGGTCACAGGCCAACTAGGAGCTGAGTGGGAACCCACACTCAACTCTCCTGCCTCCTGATCCAGCATTTTGTTCCATTACTCCAAGCTTCAGGAATGAAAGTCTACCTCAGCTTAATATATTCCAGAGACCAAATAAAACCCAACTTTCAGTGTTTTGGTTTTCATTCCTGAAGTGAAGACGTAGGGCCCTGGGTAGTAGATTAGAACCTAGAAACTAACTTGTTGGATAGTTAGACCAGATCTTGCTATTAATATTTTGTACTTCTGTTAACAAATTCTGAGTTTCTGTGAAGTACATATAGATTTAGCTTCATGTTAGACTACATGGTTAGTAACATTTTACCATTTTTAATTTTTTTCTTTTTTTATCTTCACCCAAGGACATTTTTCCTTTTTTTTTTTTTGTTCAGGTAGAGTGGGAGGGAGAGAGAGGAACAGAGAGAGAGAGAGAGAGAGAAACATCAACATGAAAGGGACACATCAAGTAGCTGCCACCCGCACGACCAACCAGGGCCGAGGACAAACTGCAACCGAGGTACGTGCCCTTAGCGGGAACCGAACTCAAATCTCCCTGGACCACAGGCCGATGCTCTAACCGCTGAGCCAAACCGGCCAGGACCCATTTTTAATTTTTTAAAATATGTTTCAATTAATTTTTTTAGAGAGAGAGGAAGAGAGAGGGGGAGATAGAAACATGGATGAGAGAGAAACCTAGATTGGCTGCCTCCTGCATGCCCCCTACTGGGGATTGAGCCCGCAACATGGACATGTGCCTTGACCAGGAATCAAACCTTTGATCTCAGTGCACAAGATAACACTCAACCAACTGAGCCACACCAGCTGGGCCATTTTACCATTTTTAAACTAGGGAAGTGAGAGATTTGGCCCAGAATATAGAATAAGACCATAAAACATCCTAAGGGCTTTGCCTTTAGGAACCCTCATTTTTCTTTCTAAGCTACCAAACTTCTTCCCTCAAACATCTATTCTCAGTGATAATCATTTATAGTTTGAGCCTATTGCTGAAGGCCATGTTTAAATGTTTCTCAAACACTGAGTCTCAAAGAATTTGAGAATCTCTTTACAAATCCATCATTTCTGCTATTTATTTTCTACTAAATATATTCCAGTGTTTCTTAAAAGTTGGTCCTCTCCCCCCCCCCCCTCCCCGCACTTACTCATTCTTTAAATGCTTATTAAAAATGCCAGGACCCTGATACCTACCATGACTAATTGAATCAGAATCTTTAAAGGTGGATGGGGCTCAGGAGTCAATGTTATAATTATTCATCAGATGATTCTTGTGCGCTCCAAAGTTTGAGAACCACTGCATTCAAAATCCCCTGGGTGAGATTATGATGCTGGAGAGAGGAGAATAACTGAGGAGTTGTGGGCAAGGAACAAAGTTGAAGGAGGGATGAATCTGAGTTGGGAATTGGTAGAAAGCTAACCTGGAAAGTTCTGCAGCCTCTCTTGAAGTGGTGATCCTCCAAAGCGGCACTACCAACCAGGAATTCAAGTAAAGCATGGAGGGAACAGGCTTCAGTAAATTCATGGAGGCGAATTTGTCCTTGGATAGCTTTGGGGAAATGAAGCCATTGTCTTGACAGAGGATAGGGAATGAGGAACCACTGTTTTCTGGGTTGGGTGCCATCTAAAGATAGACACCAGCCTGTCAGGCAAGAAAATCATCTGGAATTTCATCTGAGTTGCCATGGCTACCAGCTGATATAACCAAGCTTCTTTGTGCTGCTCTGTGGACCAGTCTGGCAATCAGGTGAAGCTAATTGTTCTCATTTGCAGTGACAGCTTAATTACTTTGAACTTGATTTTTGCATAACATATTCAACTTGTAAAGTTGGTCCTTTGCATTCAGACAGGCCTGAGTTTGAATTGTAGTTCAGCCACATTTTGGCAGTGAATCCATGTTTCTGACCATGGAGTGGAGGGATGTTAAGGGGTGGGATCGCAGTCTTGGAGTGGGAGAGGGTGTCCTATCTATTCCTCTAGTAACAAGAGTTGGGGAGCAAGCTAGCAGCTCCCTGGTTAAGAGAACCCAGTTTCCTGGGTAACTGATGCCTGCATGTCCAAGAGGGAACTGCAGTGTAGGCAGCTGGCTATTCTCATCAAGCTCCAGTAAGCAATTAGTTAAAAATAGAAATGTTGCAGTTGGAGAGAAGTGGAGTTATAGGTTGAAATATTAACTGTCGCAGAGGATTGACTGCTGGGTCTGTTTTCACTTCGGCAAAGTGGTGCCTCTCTGTGCATAGCTTCAGTCTTCTGAGAGTTTTGAACACATTGGTCAATCTTTAAATCCTTTTTTATCCTCTGAGATTATGAAGGGGAGTATTGTAATTTTTATACTACAATAGAGAAGGTTAAAGGGGCAGGTGGATTGTAGGGGAGATGGTATGTGATTATCCTGGGCCTAGAGACAGGACTTAGGTCTCCTGACTAATGCTATGTCCTAGACCACGATTTTTTCCACATCTGAATTTAGAAGCCTCGGTTTTCATATGTGCTCAACACAATCCAATCTGATAAAGAATGTATTTTTTAAAATATTTTTTAAATATGTTTTTTATTGATTTTTTTTTAGGGAGAGAGAGAGAAACATCAATGTGGGGAGAAACATCTATTGACTGCCTCCTGCATGCCCAGGGCATGTGCTCTGACCAAGAATCTAACCCGGACCTCTTAGCCCATAGGACAATGGTCAATCCACTGAGCCACACTAACCGGGCAGAACGTTTTTTGTTTTGTTTTGTTTTTTAGGGTTTTTTCTTTATTGATGTTAGAGAGGAAGGGAGAAGGAGAGAGAGATAGAAACATCCATGAGAGAGAACATTAGTTGACCACCTCCTACATGCCCCCCCACTGGGGATCTGGCCCACAACCTGGGCATGTGCCCTGACCAGGAATCAATAGGCGACCTCTTGGGTCCATGCATAGGTCCATGCTCAACCTCTGAGCCACACCACCAGGCCAGAATGTTTTTTGTTTTTTTTTATCCTTACCCAAGGACATTTTTTGCATTTATCTTCAGATAGAACGGAAAAGAGAGAGAGGGAGGAAGAGAGAGAGAGAAACATCGACGTGAAAGAGACACACCGACTGGTTGCCACCCACGCAACCCCAACCGGGGCTGGGGACAAACTGCAACCAAGGTACATGCCCTTAGGGGGAACCGAACCCAGGACTCTTCGGTCAGTGAGCCAGTGCTCTAACTGCTGAGCCAAACCAGCCAGGGCCGAAATGTATTTTTAAAGTCAGTTGGCAAGTCCTGGCCAAAGGTCAGGAAGTGTCTGGGAAAGCTCAGCCTTGGTGTTCTTTATTGCCACCAGCTTTAGAATACTTTCCAATCAGCACTCGTTGGTCTTGTTTTCACCTTCTGTGCAGATCTGGAGCCCATACAAGCAGCCAGGATGTACCGGAGACCTAGACGGTCGGATTGAGGATGATTCCCGCTGCCTCTACACCCACGAAGAGTACATTAGCCTTGTGCTGAATAGTGGGAGTGGCCTGTCGCATGACTACGCCAACCAGTCTGTACAGGAAGACCCCCGGATGATGGCCTTCTTTGACTCCCTCGTGCGCCGTGAGATTGAGGGCTGGAGCTCTGACTCAGACAGTGACCTGAGTGAGAGCACCATTCTCCAGCTGCACGCAGGGGTCAGTGAGCGTTCGGGCTATACCGACTCCGAGTCCTCGGCCTCGCTCCCTCGCTCCCCTCCACCTACAGTGGATGAGTCTGCCGACACCGCCTTCCACCTGGGGCCCCTGCGGGTCACCACCACAAACGCAGTAGCAGCTACTCCACCACCGCCCACATGCGAGGATGCAGCTTCTCGCCAGCAGCGCCTGTCAGCTCTGCGGCGCTACCAGGACAAACGCCTCCTGGCACTTTCCAATGAGTCCGATTCTGAAGAAAATGCCTGTGAGGTTGAACTGGACACGGATCTCTTCCCGCGCCCACGGTCTCCCAGCCCTGAAGATGAGTCCAGCAGCTCTAGCAGCTCCAGTAGCTCCGAGGATGAGGAGGAACTGAATGAACGCCGAACATCCACCCGGCAGCGGAATGCCATGCGGCGTCGACAAAAGGCGCCCCGAGAAGAGAGGCCCAGCGCCCCGCCCAAGCCTACCAACACCTACATTGGAGAAGATAACTATGATTATCCCCAGATCAAAGTGGATGACCTTTCCTCCTCTCCCACCTCCTCCCCTGAGCGGAGCACTTCTGCTCTGGAGATTCAGCCAAGCCGGGCATCACCAACTTCGGACATAGAGTCAGTTGAGCGGAAGATTTATAAAGCTTACAAGTGGCTCCGCTACTCCTATATCTCCTATTCAAATAAAGATGGAGAGAGCTCCCTGGTGTCGGGGGAAGCAGATGAAGGGAGAGCAGGAACCAGCCATAAGGACAACCCAGGCCCTTCCTCCAGTAAGGAAGCCTATCTAAATACTGCCATGGCCCAGAGGAACCAGGACCTGCCCCCTGAGGGCCGCAGCAAGGATGCTTTAAGAGAAGGAACTTCTGCTAAAAATCCTGGCACTGCTGCAGGCCATGAGCACAGCAGCCACTCTTGGGCAGAGGCACCAGAGGACACCTCTCAGGACACTAACAATGGTGGCTCTGTAGAACACTCTTTTGAAACCAAGAAGCTCAATGGAAAGGCTCTGAGCAAGGCCCTGAGCAGCCGGGCTGAGGAGCCACCCTCTCCTCCTGTCCCCAAGGCATCTGGCTCCACTCTCAACAGTGAGTCTGGCAACTGTCCCAGGACCCAGTCTGATGACAATGAAGAGAGGAGCCTTGAAACCATCTGTGCCAACCACAACAATGGACGCTTACACCCCCGCCCCCCTCACCCCCACAACAATGGACAGAACTTTGGGGAGTTGGAAGCAGTGGCCTGCTCTTCCCCAGGACATTCAGACACTGACCATAACTTATCCCTGACAGGGACTCTCCTACACAAAGATTGTTGTGGGTCTGAAATAGCCTGTGAGACCCCCAATGCTGGAATGAGAGAGGACCCCACTGACCCCCCAGGCATAGACAGCAGCAGGGCTGTTCATGGCCATAGTGGCCTCAAAAGGCACCGAGTTGAATTAGAAGATACAGATTCAGAGAATTCCTCCTCAGAGAAGAAACTAAAAACATGATAAGTACAAAGGGAAAATAAAAAGCTACAAAAAGGAGCTTTACAAAACAAAATTTAATCCTGTTTAGTGAACACAAAGGAAAGGAAAAAAGTATTAAAGGCACATAAACCAGGGCCTGAATTTTGTGTCTGATGCTGCTCCCTTTTATTCAACAATGGGTCTGATGTTCAGTTGGCCATTGGCTTGTGCTGTGTTAAGAAAGGGAAAAAAATCCAAGTGACTCCTTTCCAGTAAAACTTGAGCATAGTGTACCTGTGCAGATTCTGTTAAAGTAAACCCTTGTTGAGACATTTGACTTGTTCTTGTGTGTGTGCACTGGCACGCGCGAGCTCATTATTTCAGACTTTTCCTTCAGTTCTCTATCAAAAAAGGATCTGTGTTTTTTGCCATCTCACCTTGTTTACATGCAATATGTGTTCTGGTCTTAATGAAGAGTACCAGCTAAATCAGGTTGTGCTGCCAGTGAGTAGTGGATTTATGCTTATGCTGAAAGACTGGGGAGTAGAATGGAAACAGGCCATCAGCCCATTGGCTGTGCTGGAAGGAAAGCATGGTTCCTTTCTTAAAGAAATCTTCCATGTTTTCTCTCAGTGGCACTTCCACATTGAGCTTTTAACATAGACATACTAAAAGTGGAGCATTTTTAATGCTAATGAGAGGTTAGCACTTAAGATCAGATTCAAGAGAACATAGATCCCTGATAAATTTCACTGATTGTAAATCGAGCGATGCTGCAACATATATTGTTTGGAGACCATAAGATATAACTAGTTGTGGGTAACACTTTAATCAGTTAGATACTTAGTTCTAAGAGGCACTCAAAAGGCCTGTAGACGCTTCCTTGGCCCCATGGGATGGCGTCTAGGCATATTAAAAGAAGGGGGAAAAACAGCTCTCAAGAGCTTTGTGCTCAAACTACTAAAATGGATGTTATATGTGTGTTAAGAAGTGTAGTAAAGAGCAGAGTGTGGTACTGTATTAATTTAATTCAACCCAAAATGATTGGTGAGAATGATGAGCCTGGCATCTTCCCTCAGGCTTGCAATTGACAGAGGCTGTGGTGTTCTGACTAGATCTTGCAGAGCAGTAGACAGCTTGACTTACTGACTTCTCTGTTAGGAAGCAGAGCATGTGGAGAAAGGAGTCACTGGTTTAAGACTCCTGCCTCCTAGAATAGACTCCTCATTGAGGTCGATAAAGATTGAGGGGGGAAACCAGGAGATTTTCAGCATTGCAATGGTAGTTACAATCACTTGGTTATCAATGAAGGATTGTGCAAGACAGGAAGAACTAGGAATGACCAGATATCTTGTTGTCATAGATGTCATGAAAAGGCAGGAGAATAGTGGCAAGAAACAAGGAAGAGCAGAGGAGAACACTATAACTTTCTTGGGCACAAAGGTGCTAGACAACTAGGAGCCCAGCCTGCATTGGTATAGACAGGAGCCAATGTGTGACTGATGTGGCCTCACTGATTCTTTTAGAGGAAGGAGGACCTGTCCTACTGGAACTGGGACCAAGGGGAGACAACCTATGGAAGGTGAAGACTTGGATGGATTTAGGCACCGGGGAGGAGGGGTTATTTATAAAAAGAAGGTTGTTGATCTAAGCCAAAAGGAGATATCATCTTGCTAAGTTTTGTGAAAGGAAAGATGTGCCTGGTATGTGTGGTGTGACTTGGGTGTGAAAACACTGTTTTAGGAGGAGGAGATAAAAGAATGTGAGTAGCAGTGGGGATGCTTACAATTTAACAACTGTAATCTCACTGGGGGGGGAGGAAGTGATTCTGTAACCATTAGAATTACTTTGGATTTGTAATCAAAATGGTTTTATGATTTGTCTTTGACTATTCACAGATAATTGTAAATTCTGGTTTTATAAGCCCAAGTCATTTTACATTTGCTTTTCCAAAATTTATTAAATTGGAATTTTTTAATCCTTTATATACAAAAAAGATACAGTTATTCAGTGTGTGTTTCTCTTCCCCTTCCCAGTTAGCATACCCAATCTTTTTGTTTTATTTAATTGATAGGTATCCTTATCTGACTTCTCTAAGGATAATCTACGTATCTTTCTGAAGAATAAAGTAGTTAAAGTTCCCTTGCAAACTAGCCACTTGGTAGTTCCTGCTCCCAAATGCAGAACTTGGTCTTTTCATGTTAAAAAGTCTTAATCTCATTTGGGTACTCAAAAGAGAAGTCAGAGTTTATTCTAGTTCAACCTTAGTATACAAGAAAGATTGTTTTTCAGTAAGGATGCCTTTCATCCTTGGGAGCGACTCTTCCCAGCACCCCAGGGTCAACTTGCCAGGAGATAGGCCCTGCAGGATAGCCACAGGAGCGGGCTTGTCTGTAGTCACACCACTCTCGTTTCCAGAAATCTGCCTGTGATTGTGGTCCTGGCAGGAACTACTTCCTGGGTCCCTTTGCCTAAACCCTTCTAGAATTGAGGCTCCAACTTTGGAGGCACATTTAACCTAGGTTTTTCCATGAGAGGTCTCTTTACTAGCAGGACGATGGCACTGATTAGATTAGAGCTGTTCAAAAGTGCCTCGGTGGTTTTTTTCTGCATCCTGTACATAAAATTTTAAGTGGCTGGTCCAGATATATGAAACCGTTTCTCTTCACTTTATTTTACTCCTGGTTTTGTAAGTGACTCCTGTGTCTCTAGGACTGCAGGTAAATGAATTAAGTGAATAGTTGGCTTGGGGCAAACAAAGGTTGCTACTCTGCTTGATTTACTAGCCTGGAGTCCCTTGTTTGTCAAGGTGCCTTCCTCTGCTGAAGCCTTACCTCCTCACCAGCCCACCTCTCCCAGCAAGGCTCTCTTCTGTGTATATGCAAATAAACCTATTATTCACTTCTCCCGGCTTCCTCTTCTCTTCCAGGGAAGATTTGGTTTCTTAGACACCCCTCCTCCTCCTTTTCTTTCCTGTTTTAATACTTACCTAGTTGGAAACTTGATTCAAAGCTACACCGGAGACAAGAAAAATTGGTCAATGGTCACTGTCACTTCTAGGTATTGGCATAGAGGTCACATCTGGACAACAAAATGTAGGGTAGGGGGAGGTCTCTACTTGTTCTTTTAACCAGGCTTAGATGGACTCAGGATAGTGAGATCCTGGAATTGACCCTTTTATTAGTTGGAACTGAGGGAGTGAGGCAGTGAAGCAACATTGCAAACAGCCCCCAAAGAAATTATGTTTCCTGATGTTTCCAAATATCAGATTGCTTTTCCTGCCCTGTCTCAGACATGCACTGCAAACATTTTTTTCTTAAAAAAATAAGATAGATAGATTATATATATAATCTTCTGCCTATAAAGCTGCCTCCTTCAGTTAACTGAAAAATTCTTGCCAGCCAACACTCTTTTGAGAAAAATAGACCTCCCAAAGAAAGACTGACTTTCCCTTGTGACCTAAGCAAGACACTGTGCCAGGGTTGACATACTAAGGTGACGTAAGGCTCAGTGAGTCCAGACTTGCCCACAGCAGCAGGATGCTGGCTATGGACAAGGTGTGTGGGTCTCAGGAGGGATATTCAGTCCAGTGCTCGTCTGTCCTTGCGTACTCATCCTGGAATGAGATAACATGAAGTCAGGTGGCTTGGAAATGATTTTGAATTTCTTTAAAGAACAGTGCTTTCCACATGCAATAGAAGAAAAGTGTATGAAAAGTAAAGCTGAGCCATCTGCACCCTAATTGCATTTCACTTAGTACAGAGGTGGTAAGATGCTTCTGAAAATGGAAGATTAGAGGCAAAGATAAACTTCACTGGGCCCAGCACTAACTAACATGGCCAGGAACAAGCAGGAGGAGTTGCTCAATTTTCTTCACTCAACAGGTTTTATTCAAGCCCCGCATAAGGGTCCTGCAGTGCTTATCTATAAGACAGTCACCGTTGTAAGGAAATGGGATATGTAGCATTTCAGATTACTGAAGTTATGGAATGACTTCTTTCTGGAGCCCAAAGCCATGAGCTAATGGAGTATTCCAGCTGAAGTACAGAATGCTAGCTTATAAATCTCCCTCTATCTGGCTTTGTTAGTAACCCCACCAACACTGGAGAAAGTCAATAAAACACTAAGAAGTCTGGGTGCTGACCCAGGATCCTTCAGCATGGAGAGTCGTTCTTGTGGTCTAGGGAAGCTGGGAGGGAAGGCATTTGGAGGGAATGGGATTAGGAAGAAATTAAACGTTAGGTGGGTTCTACAGCTTTCCAGATCCACAGAACTAGCATTGAGCATGACGTGAACTGGTATCTGAAAAACCTGGTCATCAAGACTCCAAAATCCCCACGTAAAATCCTTATTTATAGTAATGGACATCAGTCAAATGTAGGATTGGTTTGGGAGAAATTCTCTTTTCTAGAATGCATAAATTCCATGAAATAATGATCATATAATCACCTGAACAGCAGCACACTTATATATATACCTATAACAGGTGTGTGATGGTTGGTGCTTGGCATAGGCTTTCATAGGGAAATAAACGTCTCCCAGCTTCCCAGACAGGTTAGTGACTATTTGGGGCCCACCCCTACCACCTTTTTTTATTTATCTTTTCCATGTCTCAGAGTTAATGTTTGCTAACATTTCTAGTCTGTCCAAGGCCCTACCTTAAATTGTTAAGCCTAACTTCCGTTCTTTTCTCTTCCTCCTAAGAGGGTCCTTTGAGTGGGATAGAAATGGCATTGTACTGTCAAAAGAAGTGGATTCTGTACTGGTTCTTCAGTGGAGTGGCTACATGCGCCTTGGGCAAATTACTCAAATTCTTGGGAACTGAAGTCCTTCTCAACTCTGAATCTGATTTTTTTCCATTCCATGGGCTAGATGAATTCTCAAGATATCTCCATAGTGCCCACTAGAACCTGTGGGTGAGCCAGGATGTCTACCAAGTATATAACTGCTTAGAGCCTAAAGTTCATCTGTAAAATGGGGAAAGGATTCCTGTCCTGGTATATTGTTGGAGGAATAAATGAGTGTGTGTGTGTGTGTGTGTGTGTGTGTACACATATATATACATATATACACACACATATATATATTTAGCTTAGATCAGTGCCTGATATATAGAAAGCACTAATGTTTGCTTCCATTAACATATCCTCTCTTTTCTGGTCTCATTGCTTTTTGATAGCAATGTGTACATTTTTTTTTAAATGGGGTCTGCCAAGAGATATAGAAAGTAAGTTCTTCAGAGAGAGAATTTACTGTTTACTAGCAAACCTTAATCTAAAACCACAGGAAAAAAGTAAATTATCCCCCATTATACTAGACTTTACTAAAGCTGAGTTTGGAGCCTTGGACACCACCTCCAACTTGGGGAACCAACTATCTAAAGACTCTGAGAGCTGGGGGCTTTAAGAAAAAAGCCAGGCCTGGTTGACAGAGGCCTCAGAGATCCTTGCTTAGGCAGCAAATCTGCAGTGGGTAGGGGAGGAGTGGCAGAGTAAACTAGAGTCTTAATATGGTGGTGTTGGAGATGACCCAGACCTCAGGAGCTGGGACAGCAAACTTCTCTCTGGCCCATCTGGCGGTGGGCCAGCCCTCGAGAATCAAGAGAGTTGCAAACCATGAAAATGCTCTGTGTTTGTGCCAAAGAGTTTTCCATGCAGGATTGTTTCGTGTGTGTATGTGTATTAATTATTTTGCAACATTGGCTCTGCCAAGGGGGAAAAGGGTCAGAGTTCATCCTGTTCCACTAAACCCCCAGGACAGGTCTGGAATAGAGATCCAGGAGCCCATTCGTGGTGCTTGGAGAGGGCAGGCAGAGAAGTATGGGAGAGGAAGGTTTTGAATTGCTGATGGAAAAGTGGCAATGGAATTATACTCGGGAGAACAAGCTTTTCAAACACATCTGCCAGAAAAGAAGCCAGAGAAAGGTTGGGGGAGACTGGGAAGTCATAGATGAGTTCAGGTCTAAATTAGTATTTTGACCTTATCCTGAAGGAAGTGGGGGTGTTAGCTACATCATCCAGTCCAGCCCCCTCATTTTATTTATTTTTTTTAATCCTCCTCTGAGGAAATTTTTTCATTTATCATCAGACAGAGTGGGAGGGAAGGAGAGAGGGAGGGAGAGAAACATTGATGTGAGAGAGACACATCAACTGGCTGCCCCCCACCCCCGCACGACCCCAACTGGGGACGAACCACAACCCAGGTATGTGCTTTTGACCGGAACTGAACCCACAACTCATTGGTCCACGGGCTGCTGCTCTAACCACTAAGCAAAACTGGCCAGGGCCAGCCCCCTCATTTTAGAGATTGAGAGCCCAAGGCCAGATAGTGGCTTGGTGTGGCTTCTAAGGCTAGTGCTCTCCTCCATCTTGCTGTTCCTAGATGTAGTTCTTTAATTAAGGGGAGTGGGCGTGTGCTTACCTTGCTTTCCCCACCCTCAGCATGATTCCAGTGGGTTTCTGCTTACAGTATGCAGCCAGAGCAAGGGATTGAACATGACCTGTAAGGAGGCAGGGTAAGGAAGGAAAAACTCTATGCAAAGGGAAAACAGGGCCAGCTCAGCTTGGACCACCCTCAGAAAATCAACACCAAGGACCTACACGCAGACTAACATGTGTCTTGTTCCTGTACCTTTCAGCAACTCTGACCACTCCTGGGTTGCTGAATGCCATCCTGATGTTTCAGCACCAGGAGGTGTCAATAAATCCTTCGGATGACTTTCAGAGAGGAACAATCAACGCGTGTTGGGATGGGAAGAAAAGATAAAAGGGACCAGAGGGTGGGAGCTGAGGTCTTTCGTTTTTAGGAAGGCGGGCTCAACAATGGAAGACCTGTCAGTTATGAGCACGCGAAGACCAAAAGAGGAAGGAACAACTTTCAAGTGGAATCTGCCCAGTTGCAGGCCCAGAAAACTGGTTCAAATCACTGTGCTCTTCTTGGCTATCAGGTCCTGGTAAGTGAGATCTTTTTCCTAAACTAACTGTGAGAAACAGCTTACAGCTCCGATCCCTTTATCGTTATCTCAGTTTTCAACTTCCCTGCCCAAAGGAAACTCTCAGCACTTTGTTCCTCCAGCAGCTGCCTGGGTTGGAATTCACGGGCACGAGCTGCCAAGTTTAGCCTGACTGGGAAAGGCTGGTCAGTGCCAAAGTGACAGCCGTGGGCCCAGCCCCAGAAGGTAGAACAGCTGGTGGAGACTCTCGTTCCAGGTCTGGCTGGCTGTAGGGGCAAGAGTTGGCACTAAAGCAAGTGTGTCCTTCTGCTCAGGCCAGAATCCAAGGCCTGCACCTCTGCCAGCTTGTCCTGTGGAGAGACCCGTGAGGATGACCCAGGCTTGGGTTCCTGCTGAATCAGGGCCCTCTGCCTGTTTCTCATGAGGCCAGTTGAGTCCCGTCAGCAGCTATACCTGGCCCACTGACTGCCTCTCTCTCCTGTCCTGACTGGAGGTGCAGTCAGCAACCTCACTCTCTCCTAAGATGGGCAGGTCTACTTGAGGTATCCCTGAGGTGAGGTCTGGACCCCCTGCCCGCTAAACATCTATGGCGTTTTTACCTCTTCGTCCCTCAGGTTAATGTGTGAAATGAAGAATTCAGAGAAAAGCGAGTTCTTGAGTTCCACTCGGAGGGAGGAAAGAGGAGGGTTGGCAGGGATGATCCTGAACATGGTGCACTGGACACCAGGAGCGACAGATCCAGGAGGATGGGAGCCTGAAAGGCGGAGGACAGTCAGCAAGCCTGCCTCTGGGGTCTCCTTGGGAAAGAAGTCAGACTGGTGCGAGAGACTGGACTTGTTGAAAGGGCAGGCCTGAGAGGCCAAGTTTGTCTTCAAAAAGATCAGCTGTTGTGTCCAATGAAATAATTTAGACTTTGTGTTTAATTGGGATTGATTCTAGTGATGTTGATGCAGTGATAGATTAAGGACTCTGCCCCTTCAGCTCTGGGTGTCTACAGAGCCAGGGGCAAGGCCTTGACAGCAAGGAAGGAGATCTCTGGCCAGGCCCTCGCCAGGAACAACTGACCTCACGACAGTAGATGGCCTCCTCAATTCCTGGACGGTGCTCCAGCTCAAGGGTTCCCACCTTCCAAATCCAGAATAAGGGAGCCTCTCTGAGATGCTCTCTAGGCACCTGAGGGCAGGACTACTCGTGCCTCTGCAGCCTGGGGAGCGCCTATCCCCGTGGTCTACAGAGTTGTGGGAGGGGTGCCCCGCACAGCTGGACATGCAGTCCTTCCTGCAAGCTCCGTCAAGTGGAGCTCTCAGTCCGGACAGGGAGACATGTGAGCCCCTTT